ACACTTTACATAAGTTTAAAAAATGTGTTAATGTACATCAATCGTTAGCTGGCGTTACTTTTCGTACGTTAGTACAGGAAAGGAGGTTCCAGAAGGGGCGTGGCTTAGGACGGATCAATATATCAACCTCCCAAATGGGAAAGATTTAGTAAAGATACTTTACTCTACTATACTGTATCTACTTTACTTTTCCACAGGAGTACCGCAAGAAGCACAAGGACGCCCGCAGGAAGCTGAAGTCCTCCCAGAAGAGCTGAGGATTGTGGGAAGTGAAGTCTCTGTGTTTCACTCACTGGTTTGGACTTCAGGACCAGGAACTGACAGATTGTTTCTCCCTCTTGGTGCCATTTTGTGCCTGATTTCAACAGTCAGCAGGCGGAGGACTCAGACATCGGGTGAAAGTTCAAGATCGTCAGAAAATATCCGATTATTTTTTATTTGTAGTAAATGCTGAGAAATATTTTGTGGTCGGAGCTTCCTGTTGAAACAGCACCTGGTTTGGTTTTTCTCATCCATTGCCATAGAAACGGTGCTGCAAATGAACTTCTGGATGGTCAGCAGCTAATCACAGCTACAGGGGACCAAACCTGACGTAAAAAGAAATTAAAAAAGTAAAAAACAAACCTGTTTCTGTCTCAGTTTTGGTGCTACAGCTGTCAGTCAGGAGTCAAACTAATGAGACTGAAGGTTGTGATGTGATTGACGGAGCTGGAGAGTGTGTGGTGATCTGATGACTCCTCTCATTGTGGACTGGAGTTTCGATTTCTCTTTGCACTGTGAAATAAAGTGAAATGAGATTTTGTTTATTTGAATATGAATTAGCTGTATTATGTCCGGCTATAAATCTAATGCAGTCTGAGTACAACAAATCCTCCCTTCATTAAGCTCAGTTTTTAGAGGGGTTGGTTCAACTTTGTTCATTTTGGATGCTGCAGTTTGTGTTGTTTTATAATGAGGGTTGTTTATGATATTTTGTCTCTACCAGGGCTGAAACTGATTATTGTCATTCATTTTATGTAGACCTTTTTCTTAATCGATCAATAATTAAGTCCCTAAAAGATGTAAACATTGAGAAATGCCCGTCATAATATCTTAGAGCACAAGGTGAAACAACCAACAGTCCAAAACCCCAAGATTATTACATTTATTTAAATGTAAGAGGAAGAAAAGCAGGAAATTGTCACATTTGAGAAGCTTGAGGCATCAAACCTTTGACACTGACATGGTGTCAAACTATATTAAATATATAGTATATATAATATTAAAATGTTTGCCAATTAATTTTCTTTTGATCAATTAATCAATTACTTAGTAAAATAAAAGGGATGTACAAAGTATAAATACTGAGGTTGTGGGTTCAAGCAACTCCCACAATCATCCAGTCTGCCTGTTATGTTGGATTTTTACTTAATTAATTTCAATGTTCAAATGTTTTTATTTAAAAGCACTAGTGTGCTGTTTCGTGGAGCTTTCTCCACCAGGAACAACATTTTGTCAAAGAAATCACTGAAATTTAATGTATTTCTTAGCTTTTTGGCCTCAAATAGTTAAATCAATGTCACTATATATCAGCCCTATTAAACAAAACTGTGTGACCTTTTCATCTCACCAAAACAAGATAAAACATAAAACGCAGACAAGCAGTTATTTAAATGAGGTCACATTACACATTTAGAAATAGTTATGTCATTGTCTGTGGCTTATAATAAGACTGTGTCTCCACACACACACAGGATACTCTGAGTTTAGATGCCAGACTTGGTGTCAGAAGAGGCGTACCGCTCCAGAAATAACCAGTAAGGGAAGATAAAGAAGATCAGTTTACTTTATAATTAAACTGATTGTTAGTTGCTGACCAATTCAACACAACAGACTTCTAATAAAATGTTATATTTTAAGGGTGGTCTGCTTTTCTGTGTTGTTGCTGAGCTTTATTTCTGTGGAACTTGAAATAGGATTTATCTTCAAACCTCCTTGTATCCTGTGCACAAAACACACATTACACATATACAATACTGTATTACCCTGCCCCAGGTTTCCATGTTTATTATTATCAATTAACGTATATAAAAGTATTATAACTAGATATTGACACAGAGCCTCAAAGATGGGCAGAAATGCAGGAGCCACTCCAAGGCCCTTGTATTTTTATTTTGAGCGAACCTGAAGAAGCTGCAGGTGAAACATGTTTGCTCCTAAAAAAATCACAGTAAAGTCATTCCAGTGTGCAGTGGTTCGTTTTATTTTTGCTTATTCCCAAATAGATTTGCAGTTAAATGACAGAAACTAATGCAGCGAACCTGGGATCTCTGGGGATCTGGGGTCTCTGTGGATCTGGGGTCTCTGTGGATGTGGGGTCTCTGTGGATCTGAGGTCTCTGTGGATGTGGGGTCTCTGTGGATCTGGGGCAGGTGCCTGGTTAGACTTTCTTTAACTGATGTGCTTTGCTGTTACTGTCAGTGACTGAAATTGTACACGAGCCACTTCCGTTTCCAAACTGAAGACAACTATTTATGTGTGTAATGTTTTATATAATAAAGTGTAGATACAAAGCAGTGTCGTAAAAGTAGCTAAATAACCTTAAAAAGCATCTAAATTGAAACAGTTAACCTTTGTATTCGCTTCATGCTCAGATTGACACGCTTCACTTTAGCCCTTGTTTATTTTTCCCATTATTTTGAAATTCCCAACCGGAAGCCGCTCCGTGCTGTATTGCGTCAGTTGGACGGTTGGCGGTATATAATGTCCGACCGTTGGTGGATAACGGAGCTGAAGTGCGCAGCAGAGTCAGAAGTTCTCCATCAGGACCAGAGGGAGAACCGGTTCATGGACGTTTTTTATTTCAGGAGTTAAATGTTTGTCTTAGCACATGTCTGTGGGAAAGACCGATAACACGGAGCAGTTAGTCCAACGGCAAACATGAGCCCGATTTTGTGCCTTTTGCTCCTCTTTCTGCGGACCGCGGAGCTCCGTCATGCCCACACAGCCCGGGAGTTGCTGCGGGCGGAGGATGCTGGCAGCCCGGCGGCGGCGGGGACAAAGGGAAGGACGCCTCTGGAGCGGGTTCAAGAGAGCTCAGGAGTCCCCGACCTGAAGCGGGTCGCCCGGGGAGCCAAAGATAGGAACTTAGGGAAGAGAGACCCGCACACACCGAGGCGGTACGAGGACCCGAGCGGTTACTTCACCACACCGCGGATCGACCCGCCCGCCCCGCCGGGTAACTCTTCCTCGGGCCACGGGCTCCTCAACCCGCTGTTCCCGGTCACCGACGGCTCCTACTGGGCGTACGCGGTCATGCTGCTCGCGCTCGTGCTGTTCGCGGCGGGCATCGTCGGGAACCTCGCGCTCATGTGCATCGTGTGGCACAACTTCTACCTGAAGAGCGCGTGGAACTGCATCCTGGCGGGGCTCGCGTTCTGGGACTTCCTCGTGCTGTTCTTCTGCCTTCCCGTGGTCGTCTTCCACGAGCTCACCCTGACGAGGTTGCTAGGAGACCTGTCCTGTCGGCTCGTGCCCTACCTGGAGGTGAGGAGCAGTTGGTGACGAGAGCACCGGAAGAGTGTGTGAAATTATTAATTTATATTTTAATTAAGTTTAATTTCCTCAAGTTCTCGTAATAATGTTAAATTATTTTTAAAAATTATATAATTTATAGCGTGAAAATACCACCGAATATTATATTATAATTATACCTACTACTTTTTATTAATTAATACAAATAAAATATAAGAAATAAATGTTAAAATTTTTTTTAAAAAAGGATATGCTATTTTTTTTAAATAATAAAAATAAGATTTATGTTATTTTGAAAAAGGTTTAGCTGAAAAAAATAACTTTCTTTCTTTTTTTTAATTAATAAAAGTTCAGGTCAACACTTTTCCAAATCAGTGTTTGAGGTGAACAACAGGTAACTTTAGTACTACACTATAACTGTACCATATTTGATTAATTGCTAAATCTGTAGGCAAAAACAAAAAATCACAGTTTCCCAAAATCCAAGGTGATTATTTAACAGTCAAAACCCAACAAATGTCAGTTTTCAGTCTTTATAAAAGGGAGAAAAGCAGAAAATGGTCAAACAGGAGAAACTGCAACCAGAGAATAGGTGGTGTTTTTAATTTATAACAAAAATCACTTTTAAATAATCATAGCTTCATCATCCACTATTTATTTCACTAAATTAATTAACTCTAATTGCCCCTAAAAGTGTTTTATCTCAGAAACCAAAACCCAGATGTCCTCCAGCTATAGTGAGGAGATGTCAAACAAGTTAAACAAACAACTTAATGTGACGATAATGAATCTGTCCCTCAAGTCTGTGCTGTTTTTATTCCCCCATGTTAACCTCATTGTGAATGTTTTCCAGTTTAATAGAGAGACATCCAGGCCTGTGATGAATGGCCTGTTTGTGTCTGCGCTGCTGCTCCGTTGCAGGCTCAGAGCGCTCTTTACTCTCAACAAACGTGCTGTTATGGTCTGTTTGGCCTCTTCAGCCGTCTGTGACGAACCATCAGGGGAGGAAGGAGGAGGAGAAGAAGACTCAAACAGTGAAACACAGAGGCGTAGTTATCACGGACCGAGGCGTTTATTCACAGGTTCAGAGTGCAGACATCCAATAATGAAGTTGGAGCACAAGGAAAAAGTTTTAAAACAACACTAGGGCTGCAAGTTTTATTAATTAATGTTTTTCCAGTTTAAAAATCAGCAAATTCTCATATTTTACAGCCTGAAACTGGAGAATTGTTGACATTTTTAATGATGTTTTTCATAATTGATCATTTTGTTGATCAACTAATCAACTAACTAATGAATTCAGCTCTAATGGAGATAATATATTAATAAGAATACGGTCACATACAGCTATATTATATGTCCCAATATAACTTTACATTGATTTGATGCTTTCATCCACAGTGACTTAACACTTCCCCTCGTTTACACACATCGGGAGCCGTTTCTGGTTCAGTGTTTTGCTCAAAGACACTTGGAGATGTGGAGAGGTCGAGCTGGGATTCAAACCAACAATGTGTATTAATATAAAGGATGAGTGGACCTGCTCGCAGTGTGGAGCAATAACTAATGCAGGGGTGAAGTAAGTGTCTCAGCTTTGCAGTCATTCCCAATTTATGCAATTCCAACGCTGTTTATGGACCTTAGTATGCAGAAATATTCAAAAACACTTGAAGAAAATACCACTTTTGGCCTAAAACTGCGTTGGATTAACATAAAGCGGGCATGTCGGCAACAGGGAGGCTTGTGGGTTCCCATAGAGCCCATTTTCATTCAGATATCTTGAGGTCAGAGGTCAAGGCGTTCTTCCCAACATGCTAGCGTGACGTGGTCGGTAACAGTGGATTCGTTCTGACTTTAAAAGACAACGCGGTCGAAAACCCAAAGAAATTAAACGTACGAAATCATAAAACAAAGAAAAAGCTGCACGTTCTCATCAATGGAGATTTAAATCATTAATCATTTATCTAACAGAGTCTCGAATGATCCGTTTACAAGATTATACAACAGAAAAGCAGGAAATCTATT